GTCCACGGTGCCATGGTGATCGCTATGATTCATGGGTAGATTCTTCCCTTAGACTTGTAAGAATGAGAAATACATATAAAATGACTGCCACCGCGGTCCACGGTGCCGTGGTGATCGCTATGACTTATGGGTAAGGATTGAAAAAAAGTGAAGACAACATTTGAATAAATCATGTTCGTGTTTAAAAACAATGAAGAAGATAAATCCAATTACGTGGGCAAGCTATTTACAATTGTATACCAAAGGTAGTAAATTACTAGAAGAAAAAAGAGTTTAAATTTTTATAATGCACTATTAGACCATTTTTCGTGTAAATTGATGTTCACTAAGGCGATAAATTGAATACGATGGATATRCTATTTACAATTCTATTTAAGAACAAGTATTTAGCTAAATTATGAAGAAAACAAGAGTTCAATTAATGTAAATACAGCYATTTCAAAAAACGTTGTCGGAGAGAATGGCGATTGGTTATTGGTGATTGCACGACCGAAAGGGAATATGGTTCTTGAATATGTCGTACCAATCATCAGTTCTGTAATCCAATTCAGAGTTTTGACAAAGAGAGTAATTAATGGAAATGAAATCAGTTGGAGTAAATAAAAGAATAATCATTTCCTTCATTGCTCTCTTTGTTATTGAATTTTTTATCACGACGCGCGTAGCTATTTATAAAATCGTGAATTGGCTCATATCAATAATGCCGGTTCCATATAGCAACGACCTTCGTTGGAGGATTATTTGGTTTGTACACTTTCTGCAGCATTCCGTGTCTGAGGCCTCATTTTACTTGGGTGTCTCAGGAAGGACAGTGGAGAGATACATTTCGAAATACCTGACTACTGGCGGTGTAGAKCCAAAGACTATAGSCCGTTCTYGTGGTAGCATTCACTTTGCGCCACAAGAAGAATTAATAATTTTCGAAGMCGTCTTGAGCAATCCTGACAAAACTCTTGCTGAAATAGCAGATGAGATTTACCGTCAAACGAACTCTACTTTCGCTCTCTCGACTATACATTATTATTTATTCAGGAGTGGAATTACGCACAAAAAGGTGAACGTAAAATCATGCTTTTTATGAATTGTTAAGCAATTGACTAAATTTACAGTAAATTTTCATTTTATTCATAGGTTAAAAAAATTGCACTTCAAAGAAATGACGATCTACGTGCGCAGTATTGGAGCAATATATTACTGTTTCCTCCAGAGATGCTTGTATTTTTGGATGAATCTGGATTTGTATGTATTTTTTTCTCGAAAAAAAGTATTTTTAGCATT